AGGATTAAATCTGATCAAAATTGCGATTTATAAATGAGATCCTAGGCTTCATTTCTCCTACTGCACCACATCGTCACCCCATAGTTGATAGACCACTTGATAGACTTCCACCGAAAGTCAATATTTAAATATATAAGATATTTCTGATTGAATGCAATATCATGTAAGATGAATAACCAGCTGATCCACTGTTGCTTTTCTAATGCCTTCTGTTTAATTATTTACTCTTATGTTAAATCCATATATACTGTGTCATCCCTAATGTTCCTTGTTTCTGTTGCATTGCATGCGAAAAAATGTCTGGTAAAGAACTTACACTGTTAGACTTTGCTGTAATTTAACAGTTACGTACCGCAAAAAAAACCCAGTAAACTACCATATATGTGTTTTACGGTTAACTACTGTAATATGCACTGCATTATGGGTATATTTATGCCATTTACAGTCATTTACTGTATATGGGAATCTGCGGTATTTACTGTTTGCTCAAAAGCAGTAGTGCTACTGTAAATTGTTCTGCTAATGAAAAACATGAATCTGCATTCTCAATTTAATGTCTGGGTAAGCACAAGTGTGGTGAAATAAATGCATTTTTAAAATGATTAAAAAATAAAATATATAAACTTTGCTTACACCCCACAAAATTTACATTTTATTCGCGCGCAAAGCCCGCGCAACAACCTGGCAGAGGTTAAATAAACTGAGGCTTGTGTCAGTGCGCGCATAACGGACTTCCCCTCTGAGTGAACCGCCAGACGTCAGCTGCGAGCTTTCCTGTGGTAAGTAGCCCAAAAATTAAATTTTATTCGCTAGCGCAAAGCCCGTGCAACAACCTGGCAGAGGTTATATAAACTGAGGCTTCTGTGAATCGCCAGACGTCAGCTGCGAGTTTTCCTGTGGTAAGTACTTTTCACTTACTTTTAAAACGTAAACCATTACCAATATCAATGAAATTTAAAAATATGAAAAAAGTAACGTTAAATATAAAATCTAATTATAGGCTATTACTAGAACAGTCTGAGGGAAATGTTCGTTTTCCTCAAAAACTGCCGCTTTCATTAAACTCATTCAATTGTCCTGCAACTGACTGACTGTCTTTTCCAGTACAGATGTCTGATGATTTTTCGACTTTTTAACTGCTAGTTATGGTATATTTTACTCGTCAGTTAAACGAATACCGTTAAATGTGTGACGTCATTTTAAATAGCACGAGCGCTCTCTCTCTCTCTCTCTCTCTCTCTCTTGCGTGCGCCTTCTCTCTCGCTCGCTCTCTAAATAAATAAAACATTTACGCCAGTGCAGAGAAAATATATATATATTAAAGTAAAATTATAATCAATTAATTCAAGAAAGAAAATGCATTCTTTATTATGGCTTCTTGTTTGTTAATAGAAGCAAGGTCTCATCAAAGTCAGTATTCTCTTAAGTTTCATATTAATTATTTTTTTACATTTTATTGTATATATTCGCCAGTAATTTACCGCAAAAATACGATAAAAAGTCTAACAGTGTAGATACATCACATGGCCATTACAATTATTACATTAAGTGTATTTACACATTATCCCATAGGAAAAATGTATTGCTCAGTGGTTGCGTTTCCTAAGCTCAGGAGACTTAGATGAGATTCTCATACATTCTGGTTCCTGTGGCTCAGTGGTAGAGCATTGCGTTAGCAGCGCAAAAGGTTGTGGGTTCAATTCTGAGGGAACACATAATGGTAAAAAATGTACAGTCTGAATGCACTGTAAGTTGCTTTGGATAAAAGCGTCTACTAAATGCATAAATTATTAAATTAATTATATATCTCTCATTTTAGTATCGACAGCATTTCAGATGTTTCTCCTAAAATTCCTTAGGAGAAATGGAATTAGACACAAATGAGACATGAGAAACATTTGAGAAAAAAAGAGTCAAAACAGAGAATGTGGTGGAAGAAACATAGAATATCTCTTTATTGTCTTGCTGCAATCTCTATCAAGACTCCATTATAGGAATATTTTATTGCTCAGTGGTTGCTCTTTCTAAGACCAGGCGAATTCTCACTTAGATTCACTTAAGAATCATCTTTGTCACAGATATTTTTTCCTAGAATTCCTCTGGAGACAAATGAGACCATTTTTAAATCCTTAGGAGAAATAAAAGTAGACACAACTGAGACATGAGAAAATTCTGAAAGAAAGGAATCCGAAATGACAATGGGAGAGAAATGTGTGAGAAACATGGGAGATCTCTTTATTGTCTTGCTGTAATCTCTTGCAAGACTCCATTATAAAAATGTAAGAACATCTCACTGCTCAGGGGTTGCTTTTTTGATTGCAATGGGGTTTTTCACCTTTAATGGGCAGGACAGTAGGAGTAGGGTCAGGAAACAATCGGACAGGTGAGAATTGAACAGGAGCAGGAAAGTACCTTTAGCTGGGATTCAAACCCATGCTGTTTAAGGTGCAGTTGTGCCTTCACGTCGATGTGCTGCCCACAAGACTATGGCTCTGACAGAGGTTATTCTACGCTCCGGATACTTAGGGGTGATTCTCTTATATGTCTCATTGAGATATCAGCTTTGTCTTAAGATGTCTTCAGTTTTATTTTAGGAGAAACGTTACACTTTTACTAATATTGTAAATACTAAAACTATCATTTAAATAGCATTAAACATTTCAGAATATCAAGGGATACTAGTTTAAATGTTTACATTTATCTTCAATTTCCAGCATTGTATATACACCACATTTTTGATTGAAATGGTGTGGATAAATGACATTGAAGCTAACCAGAGGGACGACAAATAAAATTAAAAAAAAGAGATCTGAAATGAGGTTACCTTAAGATTGAATGGAAACTTTTGCTCAAGTCTCCTGCTTCTCAAACTTGTCTCCTGAGACAAAAACTCTAACTCTCTCACAATGGTCTCCTTTAACGCTTTAGAAGAGATCTCAACAACATCACACACTGTGCTCAGATATTTCTCCTAGTCTAAAGACACAGGTGGTCTCATATTTGTCTCCTCCAATGTTTCAAACAAGATCTCAACAACATCGCACACTGTGCTCAGATTTTTCTCTTTAGCTAGAGACGCTGGATCTCTCACATTTGTCTTCTCAAAATTTTAGAAGCGATCTCAACAACATCACACACTGTGCTCAGATTTTTCTCCTACACTAAAGACTCGAGAGCTCTCACATTTGTCTCCTCTAAGTTTCAGAAGTGATCTCAATAACTTTACAAAGTGTGCACCAAGTCAAATGCCTCAATATGAGCTCAAACATGTCTACCATATAATATGTATTAATAATCAAATTAGTCAATTAATAATCAAGACTGAGTCATAAGCCATTTATGTACCTTTCAGCAAAGAAAGCTCCAGGGTTACATTTTCTGTAAATCAGTTTTGATTTAGGCATCCGGTACATTACTATTTCCAACAACAAATTATGTGCCTATAAGTACATAAACATTGTCTTATAAAAAGTAACATTATCCTTATTTCTGCATAATTTCTCTCTCAATAGCCTTTAACTCTGAATTTATGACCCCCCTTTATTTAGTGCCTTTCAAATACCTCACTTGATGCACACTTTGTAAAATTGTTGAGATCTCTTCTAAAGCTTTACAGGAGACAGATATGAGACCCCAAGATTATTTAGCTAAAGAAACAAATCTAAGCACAGTGTGTGATGTTGTTGAGATCTCTTCTAAAGCTTTAAAGGAGACCATTGTAAGATTGTTAGAGTTTTTATCTCAGGAGACAAGTTTGAGAAGCAGGAGACTCAAGCAAAAATCTCAATTCGATCTTAAAGTAACCTCATTTCTGCCTAGGAGAAATATTTGAGATGTTAAAGAGATCTCACTTTTGATTTTTCTTTCCTATGGGATCTACCTCCCAAAACACAACCTGTTCATGTTTGTTAAAAGATTTTGATACTTGATTAATGCTCTGTTTTCTTGTAGGATGCATTAGATATCCTGTCAGTACAAGTTTCAGATCTGGTATATAATTTTTTTTTTTCATGATTAATCCATATATTTTTGAAATACAGGATCTTTAATGTACTGCTAAAGTTTAGGAGGGATTCTGACATTCTCATAATGAAAGCTGCTCTTTTAAAAACAGGATAACAAAGTCAACATGCTGACAAATCATATTGCATGAGATGTCAGTAACTGAATATTATGGTTTTTATTACTGAAAGAGCAAACCTGTCATGCAGTGACAGTGGACAAACTGTCACATGACTGTCTATAAACCAGCAATATAAAAGCATACACTAGATGCACTAGATAATTTCAGCTAGGACACGCTTGTGATCTCAGAGTTTTACATGCTTTGATGATCATAACATTTTAAAACAATTTAATTGTATCATGCAATTTCGCTGCTCACTTAAAACATGATTTGAACCTACTGACTATTTGGTTATTCACTTTCATACCATTTCTGTAGCTCAAAAAGTAGATCGTGTCACTAGCGCCATGATCTACACCATTTGGCCATGATCTACAAGGTTCTGGCCAAATGGTGTAAAAAATATTACAGTTTTTGCCTATTGCTTGAACACTAGTATAAATATACACCATGTAAATATGCCAGAATTAGTAACAATAACTACTTTTCATCTGCAGTCCCTAGGCAGGTAACATAAAACTAACATAAGGACAGCCAACAATAATACAACATTCATTCACTATAAATGAAAAGATACACATAATGGTGACATATACATTGACAACAAACAACAAAACAAAACAGAAATACATGATGGAGAAGACATTGTTCATTGTGCTTGTGTGTAAAGTTTTGACACAATGAGCCGAAGTTTTGCAAAAAGTGTTCAAGCAATAGGCAAAAACTGTATATATGCATATACAAATATGTGATCATAAACAAAATATAAATAAATACAATTTTATAAAATAAATAAAAGACTCAATATGAATGCGCTTAGGTTTAAGATGCTTTTTATTGCTTTTAATTTCAAACACAAGCAAAATAGTACGCATTTTTAAGAAAAGAAAAAAAGAGACCTATAGATAAAGTTTTAGAGATGTTAAACAAAGCATGTGTAATTTAAATTAATTTCCAAACAAGGTTTTTCACAGAATTCATATTTCAGTGACTTCGTGTGGATGATTTACTGCTGCTGCTCACGGAAGTCCTAAGCTGCGTTTTCTTTGGCTGTCTTCAATGAGTGTGTGGCCCACTCCCGCTTTATGACAGTTAGTTCTGCTACAGGCGCACTCCTCAACATGGATGTACGCGTAGGCCACTACGTCTCCATTTATGCAACTAAGATTCACTGTGCGATTGCTTGCGCGAGTGACCTGGCAACAGGTACAAGAGGACAATCCAGGTTCAGTGTACCTACAAATGTGAGAAAGAGAGAACAACACATGTAAACACATTTCAAACTTAGGATGCCAATTATGACGTAACAGAGTCTGTGTCTACTCACCTGCTAAAACTAGCACAGTCTCCACCACAAAATGTCAGGTCCATTCTCTTCTCTGACTGACAGTCGTTGTGATTTATGTAATCGAGAACGGTCTGTACTTGACATCCCTTCATTTGGTCCGAACCTTCAAACACAGACAATTGAACACACATAGACATATAAATCAACCAAAATTCACATTGTTTTCTTTACAAAAACACTCACAAACTTTGCAGCAGCCATCAGATGACAGCTGAACGGTGCCCTGTAGAGCGAATCACAAAGGCAGAATGTCATCAATGTGATTTAATCACCATGATCAGTCAGTCTAACATGTAAATGTGTGTTTGTATGATACATGAAGTACTGACAGGCTGGCAGTTGGAAATGTTGAAAGGAGGACACTGGACTGTGTATTTGTTGGTGATGAACTGTCCATTAACTTTAGTACACGTGATTCTATCACAGCCCTGATTTGCAGAGGGCAAAGTCTCTCCTTCCTACGAACAAAAAGAGAACAAGGTCAAATTCACTGCAAAAATATTAGGTTTGTTAGGAGGAATGAGATTTTTGAGGAATAATGGCTTAAAGTTGGGTCTTTTCCTCACACAAATTCAGAAAACTTTACTGTAGTACTAGTATTTTAATTATGCTTTTCTGTCCGCGATGATGACAATCCCCTTCCCTTGTATGGGGAAAAAAAGCAACATGAACAGTTTCATTTTGTGTTCAAAGAAAGAAAATATTGGTGGGTGGGTAGACTACATTTTTTACATTTATAATTAATTTAACTTTTGAACATCTATTCCTTTAAGTTCCATTTGACCTGAATATTCCACACCTCGAGGCAACTGAACCTTTTACATTTGACTTTACCTTCAGTATATGATCGACGCCATTGACATTGACAATGCAGTGAGTTTGCACACACTTTCCACAGCAGTCGTCAAAGTTTGTATCATCATATTCATAACCCTGTGAAAAATAAACATCAAATGAAGTCAATGAAATTATACTCAGTCCTGAGACAAGCTGATCAGAAGCTTGTCATGCCACTTACAGGATCACATTTCTTATTGCACTGCACAAGTTCACATTTGATCAGGAAGAACTGCGTTTTAGGATCCATGTCCCACGTACAGCTGCATTCCTGACAGTCAACAACGTGGATGTCGGTACCAGGCTGGGGGAAGTGATTGGAGAGAGATGAGCATGTAAAGCTTAATTATTACATAAAAAAATCTGAAATGTTTTTTTTTTTAAGTATTATTACAGTCATTTTAGTTACCTCATACTCCACATTTTTGTGGACGCACACTTTCTTTGGCTCTGAGGTGGCAAACAACAACAAATAAAACTATACAGAATGATATTACAGACACCATCTGAGACAAAAATAAGCATACAAATGTCACAAAAATGAACTGAAGTGTGAATAATAGCAATACCGCATTTGATTATTGGACAGCATTTTCCATCAGGCACTTCCAGGACTGGTGCATATCCGACTGCACACTTTGTATCCATAGGTGGGCACATGTTGACATCACAATCTACATCACACAAATCAAAAGGAAGATGTGAACCCAAACAATGTTATCTGAATATATCGATTACCAAGCCACATACTTTTTTTTTATTTTGTGTCCCTCTTCCTATATTGCATTGTCAGTATGGAAATGAGCTGGCTGCTTCTGTGTTCTTTAATTTGTGCAGTAGATCAGCCACAACTTTCCACTCCCATTTGTGCTTTTATGGGATTGCGGATTAAATGTTAATTTGACCTGTTTAGTAAATCTGATCCTATGTGCATTGATTGTTGAAAATAACAATTGACATTTGCAGAATTGAAAATGTCATCATAACCACTTTGTCATTTAACCTGTGACAGAGACTATTTTATTTTCTTGCGCCACATCAAAGCAAAGAGACTCAATGAGATGCAAGGAAATCACAGATCATGACTGCATTGTTTTCAGTTAAAATGTTCAATTATAGTAATTTTGAAGGAACATATTCAAAATTCAAGCACTGAATACAAAGCATATTGGGTTTGACAGGACATCATTGCTATTAATTTCAATAATTACGGAATCAAATATAAAGATTGTGAATACCAGTTTACTCACAGTCACATGCATAATATTCGCAGCAGTGATACTCATCGTAGACAAGCACTGGGTCTTTGCCATTTTCACAGGTGATGTTCTGCAGTGGAGGGCATTCCAATGGGATAACTTCTATGATGCAGTCTTCTGTGCACCTCGCCATATAGCAGTGACAAAGGTAGAAGATCTCACTGAACTGGTGATAATGAGAAAAGTACTAGAATTAGAAAGACTGATACATGTAAAATTACAATGTAGTGTATGTTATTTTCTTTGGAATATTTAAATGGCAACATGGATACTTATAAAAGTACATTCCTCCAGTAGAAAAAAAATTACACTATATGAAGGGGTCATGACATGGAGAATCAAAATGTTCTTGATATTAACACATAAGAGGTTCCTCAACAGTAATAAGTTTCAGAACTCAAAACTAACTGCCCAGTTTAAAATATGAATTATTCTTTTCTACCCTTCTGAAAACAGGAGAATCGTGATGTCCTCGACCCGCCCCTTAATGTACATCATATGTAATTGTATGTAATCAAGGAGGTTATGTCTGTTCATCAATCACAACAGTGATACATGTTGTGGTTGCGTTGTATAAATTTTGACTGCCTTGGTATATGACTCTGGCTCAAACATATATGTCCTTACCACAGCGCTTGCCATCTCGAGTATCAAAATACATGACATGCTGTAAAGCAGGACATGGATATGGTGCAATAGATTTAGCCAATCAAAACAGTGGGCATTTACGTCAGTTTCTGCAAGAGGTCGCCCCTTGACATTGAGTGGTTTTCACAGAGAGTGAAAATGTGGATGGAAAATTATCATTTTTACAAATATTGGACCTCTGATGTAAAAAATCTTTATAAACTAACCTCAAGAAACAATATCAAAATCTGAAACTGCATTTCATGACCCCTTGAAACAAAAATTAAAAGAAAGTATATTAAATAGTACATTTTTGGCCCATTCCGGACATTCGCAAGGTAGAGTTGGTGTAGGAGTAGGTGTAGGGGTAGGTGTAGTACTGGAAACCAACAATGTAGATGTAAATGCTGTTGTTGTTGTAGTAGGCTTTGTGGTAGCTGTCGGTGTAGGGGTAGCTGATGTTGTAGGTTCTGGTGTTGTTGTAGTAGACTTTGTTGTAGTTGTCGGTGTTGGGGTAAATGATGTGGTAGGTTCTGGTGATGTTGTAGTTTTCGGAGTAGGGGTAGATGATGTGGTAGGTTCTGGTGTTGTAGTAGACTTAGTGGTAGTTGTCGGGGGTGGGGGAGAT